TTACGCAAGACAAGATTTAATATTCACTCCGCATGATCTAACCTAACTGTTCATCATTTGATAGTCAAGGCATAGGCGCGCATACCCTGAAGCCGCCTTGCAAGCTCGTAGAGAAGAGAAATGTCGGGGCTCTTGAGCCGTGTCTTCATTAATAATTATCTCGGGTTTCGTCTCATTGATCTAGCAAGGAACTCCTTTGAAAGAAGCAGCGTCTGACTGCCGAGACCTCGTCGCGCCCCATGAATGCCTGCCACAGAATGCGTTGCGTTCGGAGCATTAATGACGCTTCACATTCACGCGTGCGCTCAGATCTGCTGATCGCTTCTGCTGCTTCTCTCTTTATCGTCTTTTGCTGATGATATCAGGAGCATCGGGATAAATATGCTCTTTGGCATCGTAATAGATACGCTCTTTACTGTTTTTTGCTGTCGATTTTAATTCGTCGAGATGAATCTGCTCTCTACCAACGCTTGCCTTCGTTATCAAGAGCGTCGCGATATATCTGCTCGAGAACGACTCCTGCTATCGATATTATGAGTATCGTGATAAATGTGCTCCTACCGGCTCACGCTGTCGATAGCAAGAGCCTCGTATCATATAAGGTCTTCGCAATTTCTGTGGTCGATATCAAGAGTACCGTTATAAATCTGCATTTTGCCGTCTCTTGCTGTCGACATCGCAAGCAGCTCTGACTTTACCGTCATTCTCCCTCTTTCCTCCCATATAACAACAATTTTATATCCCATATAACTCCAATATTTGATACATAATATTTCTAATTACGCAAGTTAAACCAATCGAAAAATTTATCGAATATTTAGAAATGTTTTTGGGTCATTAAGTGTTGGTTGAGTTCATTATCAACGCAGCTCATGCGTGGGTAACATAAATTGCAATGTCCTGAATTTATCTCATCGTTTGCTTTGGAATGGAGTAGACCGGCGCAATGCTTTACCTAAATCAAGGAGAGATTTGTTGGATCAAAGAAGATAATTAGCATGAGTGTGGCCGGGGGGCGGGTGGTTAATTCGATGCGAGAGTGATGAACGGCAGAGTGATGAAGTGGCAGAGTGATGAAGCGGCAGAGTGATGAAGCGGCAGAGTGATGAAGCAGCAGTGATGAAGCGACAGAGTGATGAAGCAGCAGAGTGATGAAGCAGCAGAGTGATGAAGCAGCAGAGTGATAAAGCGGCAGAGTGATGAAGCGGCAGAGTGATGAAGCGGCAGAGTGATGAAGCGGCAGAGTGATGAAGCAGAAGAGTGATGAAGCTAGAGTGATGAAGCAGCAGAGTGATGAAGCAGCAGAGTGATGAAACGGCAGAGTGATGAAGCAGCAGAGTGATGAAGCAGTAGAGTGATGAAGCAGCAGAATGATGACGCAGCAGAGTAATGAAGCAGCAGAGTGATGAAGCAACCAGGAGTTGGAGCGGATTATGTAGGCTGAGTCCATGCACATCTGAGATGTGCTTGTAAATATCCGTTGCATTGATTTAATTATAATGCGACGTGACAAGGTGGATTTTACATTGATTTGTGGAAAAAAATCGCACTCAAAGGTGGGTAATGTAAAGGATTTTGGAAAAGGATATCAAGTGATGAATTGTTTATGGTAGGCGTCGATGGGGCGAAGTCAATAAAGGTCTTAAAACATCGATTTGAATCACGATCTGAAAAATCGAAATTGGCAAATCGATCTTAGAAATTGGCAAATCGACCTTGGAAATTGGCAAATCGATCTTAGAAATTGGCAATTAGATCTTATCAATGAGCGAATCGATCTTAGAAATTGGCAAATCGATCTTAGAAATTGGCAATTAGATCTTATCAATGAGCGAATCGATCTTAGAAATTGGCAATTAGATCTTAGAAATGAGCGAATCGATCTTAGAAATTAGAAATCGATTTTAAAAATCGACAAATCGATCTGAAATAAAGGATGGACGCCAGAGACGCTGCACACCATCAGACGCCAAGGGGGGTGGGGTGGAGCCCCCCGCTCTGGCCGCGGCTGATCCCCTAACGGAATAAACTGGGGGCGAGGGCTAGACCGCGAGGGGAAAAAGACTACGAGGGGAGGACGAGCGCTCACCCTAGAACGATGACGGGACTAGAACTACAGGCAAACATTTGAAACAAACCACGGTACAAAGTCAAGTTAAGTTCGTCAGCTGAATTTGAACAAATTATTCTGCTATCGTTCTTTCGACGTTCAAGTTATTTCTTGATCTCATGATTATGGTAAATTTTCATACAAAGTTAAGAGAAATTTCTGAAAAATTGATGGTTTTAACAGAAGATTTTAACAGAAGAGGAGAAGAACAGAACAAAACATTTTTTTTAAGAGAAGAAGATGGTTTCAACAGCAGCAATGCTCATATGCTACGCAGAAAGTAAGCGGTAGCGACTCGAAGTTTTTTGAAAAAATTAAAAAAAAGTCTATCCGTTAACATTTTAGGATTGCAGGCAAAAAATTCAGTTTCAGTAACTTACCCTGAATTAAATTTGTGTTCTTGAATAGAAGTTGCACGCAGTGTCATTCAATGCTAGAAAAAAATTATGTTTATATGAATATTGACTTTTATGTGACATCCTAGCGGATTTTTGGAGGTATTGTGCTACAAGATTTTCGACCCCTGTCCTTTGGCATCCCCTGACAAAATAGCCGCTCCGGTTACTTGACAGAAGTTGACAGATAGCCGCACTGGCTACTTGACATAAGTTGACAAGAGACTCAACCGTGGCTTGATCATCATGGTACAATTTTTTGTCATTCAGGAAGCATCGGGATCCAAAAATCCCTATTTATAATTATGTATTTATTGTAATTTCTAGCAAGACGTCGATAGTTTCCTGTTGATCAGATCCATGATGCTAATTTATCGATGCCTCTTTGAATGAACTAGATAATAACTCAGGACAGAGATTAGATAAACGACCTAAACTTCAACTTGTAACACTGGCAAATTTTGTTGAGTGATCTAGATTTATTTCATGGTAAATATGAAGTTTTAATCCTCATGGAAAATAATAATTTTTCAACTTCATAATCAAAAATTATATCATTGTCATCAGACTTAAATATTCGTAGAATATGGACGTATAGATGCAGGGGAAGTCATATATAATCATGAACATATCCCTTAGTGAATGGTCCTTGAACAGCTAAATCTAATAATATTAAGTGACATGGCTAATTGTTCCGCGTGATTTTCCAATAATTGGTACAGCAGATGATTGGCTTGAAGAAAAAGAGTTAATAATGACGTCAATAATTATGATCATAGACAATTTTACGCCTCGCAACCTTGGATATTAGTGAAGAGAACACCTGTCACAAATACTTTGTACGAGAATGCACCTCACAAGTATTGTAGGTATTATTATCTCATAATAATAAGTAAAAGTGGACACCTGATATATATTGATTAGAGAAGCACATCTGACAAATATCAAGGAGATAGCACATCTTATACGAGCAGTGCACATCTAGGACAGAGTCTGCACGCCTTTATAATTACTATGATCCAACTTCTCTCATATTGGCGGAAATATTACGCAAGGTAGTAGAAGAATAACAATTTGAAGAAGTCATAAAAGATTTATTAATGGAATATATACAAGTGTTCATATATAAATAAAATCGACAGGCATAGTGAATATTAGGAGTATGTACAGCGCAGCAATTCAATTCAACATGGGTAGTTCGGGCCAGTTGTAATCATGTACCTTTGAGTCTCCTGGTTTATTGATATCAATATTATAGAATAATTGCTTTAAAAGCTGCTATTGAAACACGGTCAAATAAATGCACGTGTTGCAGCATGAATCTAAATTAATTCAATTTAATCGATCAAAAATGTAAAAATTAATGAATTATTCACTGAAACTCTCGATCGCAAAATCACGCATTGAAGACTTTTTAAATTATACATAAGAAATAATAAATTTAGATGTCTGGAATATTTTTGTTGTTGAGGTTGACATTTGTTATGTAACGTTAAAATATAGCCAATTTATGTTTGCAATTCCAAATCAATCTCAGCTACTGAGATTCCAGTATTCACAAAACAGGCTTCAATTCAACGAGCAGGCGTTCATAATAAGAATTGAAGAAGAGTTTTTTTTTGTTTCTCACAAAAAATTATCTTCAATTTTCCTGCATTGTTTATTGAATATTTTTTGTATAGGACTCAACTAAAACAGTTGCGTACAGAAAGTATTTACCGCGGACGCAACTTTATAATATAAGGTCAAAAACTACCCTTTTTAAGTTGCAACACTCGTACTTCCTTTTCTACACATTTCTTCAAGAATTATAATATATGTTAAGTTAGCAACCCAACATCATGTCAGACGTACAAATTACAGTCGGAAAGAGTGTTCGCATGAATAACAATTCAATTGAATATAGAACTGAAAAATAATATAATGTATGTGTTCGCATGAATACCAATTTAATTGAATATAGACCTGAAAAATAATATAATGTATGTGTTCGCATGAATAACAATTCAATTGAATATAGAACTGAAAAATAATATAATGTATGTGTTCGCATGAATAACAATTTAATTGAATATAGACCTGAAAATAATATAATGTATGAGTTCGCATGAATAACAATTCAATTGAATATAGACCTGAAAATAATATAATGTATTGGGACATAGTCCCTAAAATTTAGTGTTCGTAGATCAATTCGTAATTAACATCACAATGTTCCGAGACTCGCGTTATACAGGACATAACACGGAGACTACTTTTTCTAATATATTAGAAAAAATAAGACCAGAGAGAATTAATTATCATTTAAGTCATCGTAATATGAGAAGATACCGTTTCACCTTACAAATATTCAATCGGCTTGATAAGATAAGAAAATAAGCAAATTATTTAATTTCAGACTGAAATTATTGAGACGAATGACGAAATATCGTGATGGAAAATAGCGAAAAGCGAAATTTAAAATATAACATTTTCGGAATATTGATGAAATCGGAAAATAAATTTTTGAGTGATATAATTCAAGTTAAACAGTTTTAAAAATGACGTAGAGAATAGGCAGTTAAATTCTAGGGCTCGAAAGTACAATTAAAGTCGGGTTAGCAGGCTGAAAGACTACTCACTATTTCGTGTATATACACCTATTAGCTATAATTACAGTAAAAAACTTACTTCATTCAAAACATTTTCAACAAAAATAACTGTCTTTGGTAATAACTAATTAATATCGAACAACAAGTAGTTAATATACGTCATTTTAGGGAACTATGCACCATAGCCTATGAATACTTCACGCTATCATCGTAATAAGAGGCAGCGTACTTATAAGGTGATCTGAAACCTAACTGACAAGACGGATTATTTAAAATGCGTTGAGATTCAAACCTTTCCAGGACATTTGGGAAACAAGCTGCCGCAGCGGCTGCGTCAGCCGCGGCTGAAGGCGATGAGGTTGAGGTATCAACTTGGCTGTACCAGCCGCGGCTGTAGCCGCCGAGCAACGTGGCATCGTCCGTGCTGAGCGGGGAGCGGCAGTCGGAGGCAGCGTAGTGACAGTATGCCATCGTGGCATCGTAGTAAGTGTTCGGTCTGAAGTGATCCACTGGCTGCTGCTGGGAATGTTGAGCAGAGGGTTGCGTCAGCACTGGAAGCTGGTCGTTCTGGTGAGGGTGGTGGCCCCTGTGGTGGATAGGGAGTTGCTGATCACTGTTGGATTGAGAGGTGGTAGGTGTTGGGACCACTGGCTGAGACGGTTGTTGCTCGAGCAAATGCGGTGGATGGTGTTGTTGTTGCTGCTGCTGGAGGTGGTTGTGTAATCGCTGGTGTTGCTGCTGCAGCAGATCAAGTGCTTGCATATTGGACGGGGATAAATTTGCCTGGCGTGACTCCGCATTTCTTGAGTTGGGCCCCAGGGCATCCACCACATAGGGTGACCCGATGGGAGGGTCGAGGTATGGAGGAATAGGGTCATGAGTTTGCATTGGAACCAAAGGCAGGGTCGGTAAGGAAGGAGGACGTCCGTCCCCGGTGCAAGGGGTGGGCTGTTCTGGGGAATCCAGAGGTTCTTGTTTTGGTTGGCAGAGCGGCGAGGACGACAAGGTCTCGGCGCCGTTGGGAATGGACTCTCTCTCTGGGGCGTTTTGACTTGGTATGCTTGTGTGAGAATTTGTGTTGCATTCCGTAAGAGCAGTTGGCTGTGATGGCTGAACATCGGATTGACGTCTTTCGTCTGGTTGCCGAAGCTCGACTTGACTGCTTTGACGCTTAATAGATTCGTCCTTTGTATCTTTACTGATGTCTTTCTTTTTGAAACGTTTGCGTCTCCTCAAGTAGGAGCCGTTATCGAACATGTTTCTTGCTTCGGGGTCTAAGGTCCAGAAGGATCCCTTACCGGGCTTTTTATCATCCCTTGGGATTTTAATAAAACATTCATTGAGACTTAGGTTATGCCGAATGGAGTTCTGCCAACCTTGTTTATTTTCTCTATAGTAAGGGAAGCGCTCCATTATAAACTGATAAATGCCATTCAGCGTCACTCGTTGCTCGGGGGCGTTTTGTATGGCCATGGTAATGAGCGCAATGTATGAATAGGGCGGTTTTACCATGTCTTTGTGTGGGTTTCCATGTTGATTCGCGTACCCATAAGGATGGTAGCGGCCCATTGCACCATAACTGTCGTAACCGTAAGCATTTGCCATGGGGGTCATTTGCTGCAAGGCGACAGGAGGGTAGGACGCTGCAGCGTGACGGTAGTAAGACTGTTGGTCGCTGAAGAGGCTGTGCATCTTCACAGGGTAAGTTCCCACCCATTGGTCACACATGCTAAAATTCGATGCCATTCTGAATTACTGAAGTAAATTAAGTAATTTTAACGTCGTTATTCGACCCAATCTAAGAACTCTGAAAATTGAGCACAAATTATTCACACTCTTGTTATCAGTTTGAATTTCATAATATCCTTAAGTCCTCAGCACGAAACATGTGTACAACAACACAGCTTTTCTATAATAGTAGAATTTTGTTGTACGAATTAAGCTTCACTTTGCGTCACCATAGTCTGAGTTTCAATCACAATAACCGGTGTAAATCACTGCGATAGTACGGACGGCAGATCTAACACTTATTCACTCTGCAACATGAGAGGCTTTCTTGTTCTTCATTTCGATGAAATCATATTCTTGCACTTTTTATACTGCAAATATGAGTGCGAAATATTGTCAGAAAAATGTTCTGTAATTTAGTGTCGTAGTTCAATTCATCAATTAATGGTTTAAGAAGATAATTTAGCAGTCACTTGAAAATTCTAATTGACATAAGATTAAAATCTGCTGTAATATTGCGAATATCTGTAAAATACACATAAGATTAGATTATGTTAAAGCCGACTCAATGACCATGGTCGAATATTATCACCATGCAATCATATCAAAATCTGAAAGGATAAATCGACAGCGTTAATCGCTGGAAATCATTCAACAACAATAGATCATTCAGGATCAGGATAGATCAGGAAAGATCATTCAACAACAATAAACAAATTACCTTAAGAATTTAATGAATTTACCTTCTACCATTACTGCAAATTAGATAAAAGATACCACGGATAAAACGAGAAAGGGAACGTCAAAAATTTTGTGAAATAGCGCACTATGAGCAGAGCTTTCCCGATACCGCGCACCGGTCTCTCGCTGGCGAGCCGCTGACTGGGGCGGCTGCACAGCTATGCGAGCGAATATATAGCGTGTGTTAATAGCGATCAATGCGCTCGTGATGTTATGGCTTCGTAATTAAGCAAATTATAATCATTATATGCATTGCTATTGCCTATGTGCTCGTGATGTTATGGCTTAATAGTTAAGCAAATTATAACCATTACATGCATTGCTATTGCCTTTAATTGATCACAACACGACGGTCCGATATCATAAGAAATAAATAGTTATGCAGCATTGATATTTACAGACGTGATGGAACAATTTTTCAGCTTCGATATTAGAAGAAGTAAGGAGCAGTTATTCCCAATCGAAATTGAAACGCGTAATAAACAGTAATGCTGCAAAACGTAAATAACAGTCATGTTGAATCGACATCGACGGGTTTTTCACCCGCCTAATCAAGCCAATTTCTGATAGCTGTGCAACAATGTTGAGCATGCCATCACACATGCTACAAAGTTTTTTCATAAGGCAAATTTTGTTGATTGATCCAGATTTATTTAATTGCAAATATGAAGGTGTGGTTTTCGATCAGAAAAAGTGATCAAATTAGTGTTTTGACAGTGTTTTGGAACTGGTTATTTTTCAAGAATTAGTTCATCGTGAACGATGACATCATTAGTTGTTGACATTAATTTTACTAATTTACTTAACAAATAAATATTTAGCTACAAAGATAATTTATATTTTCAATATCAGCTTTACAATTAAAACAATTAAGTCTCATTGTACTATTAATAAATAATAGTTACAATTTCAGCGAGCATCGAAGTATTTAAACAATACCCTTTGTGCCGAAACAATATTATCAACTTCAGCTTGTATTCAAATATCGCATGCACGTTTGCTAGTGAATCCCTTTTTTAATACAGCTCGTTAATGTCATGATCCCTGGGCTGAATATAATTAATATTCTCAGGCACAGAATGTTATTTGATCTGTACAGAAATTTTCACAGAGTTCAAGTGAACTTACTTTTTCATTTTCAAAACAAAACAAAACAAAAAAAAAAAAACATTGCAACGACTGAATGAAGATATTTAACGAGTCAAGATTCTCATTAAATCTGTAAACGGAAGGTCAGCATTTACATTATTTCCTTATCACGGCGGCCAATTTCCTTATCAATTTAAAACGTTTTGGAGACAAGCGCTGCCCATCGAAAATATGATATGTTTTGACGCATTTTCAGTGCTTTCAAATTTTTATTGCAATTTCCATGTAAATAATCAAATAATTTAAATTACAATATATTTCTTTACTTAATAGTTCTCATCACCAAATGATAACGCAGATTTTCAACAGATGTTATATATATAACATTATGTGTTGATTTTATATTATTGTATGTTTTTTACATTGTGTATTTTATATTATATGTCATAATAAATTTTAAGAATTACTAAAACTATTAAAATAGTTTATAATATTCGGAAATTAATACAATTTTTACTTCATGAATGTTGGACTCTAATTTAAACAAATTAAATGTTATTGTTGATCGCATCGATGGATTGAAGTGATGACGTTCCACGAATCAGAAATCTTATCAAGATTTATAATTTGTTAGAAGATTTAAATAGTTTAATGAATTGCAGTAAAAATTTAGAACTACATCAGAAGTTATAATGACCGGTCAATGTGTAACAGGACTAGTTATTAGGTAAGTTAGGCCCGGCATGAATGTGATCGATGCTGAAAAATCAGTAAGAAGAGGCGTATTGTTTGAATAGTTGGAATCCACGAATTCTTAGCATCCCGTTTAAAATCTGTCAAACTTGTAACCCGAAAAATAATGTTTTTTTTAGTTCAATCGAATGATTCGTTTCGCCCTTGAGAACAGCGTGACTGCTACGGAAGGTTTCAAGATGTGAATTGAAATTTTGCACTGAAAATTAATAGCAAAATGTACAACTTTAACAACCCAAACGAAGATTTTGATTCGGAGATTCTGTATTCATTTATTCAATGCCTCGTTTTTAACGTAAGCGTGCTGCCCAAATTCACAATGAATAACGACCCCATTTTCATTTACTTTAATCCCCATAATGTCATCCCGTAAAGAATTTATTCAATTGCTTCATGGTTCTTCATCATTCATTACAGACGGGTTATAGCTGTTGCTGCGTAATTAATGACCTATTGTTGACGATTTGACTGGGTATTACACTGCACGGGAAGAGCACTCAAAATAATGAACGGGCAATATTGCCCAAATACCAGCACACTTTCTGCACGAAGTACGTACTGATACACTCTTTTACCACGTTAAACTGGGTCAGGATGACCCACACAAGGGCACAAATGAATAGATATTTGGACGAAGTTTCATTTCTCAGGGTGCGCGAGGTCGTCAAGAAGAAGGCGCTATAAAGCAGCAGCACGCGTGGTGGGTCAAATGACAGCACGGCAAGGCCGGCGCACGGCGCTCACGCAGTCAAGAACAGCTTAGAAGATCAAGGCGGAATTACTCTGTATATGTTCTGTATACTCTACAATTTAAAGTCCCGAGCTCTCCTGTATATAAGGTTGTGATAATTCATTCTTATGGATTTTTGTCACGTGCATTCTGAAGCTTGTTAAAATTCGGAGAAATAATTACGTATATGGGATGTAAATTTTTGGATTTATAACGCTTTGAAAAATCTGTTGAGCTAACTTCGGAAAAATAATGAACTTGCCGTTATCGTGCACGTTACCGAGCGTTTAAATTGAACACAATTTGAATCGAATCAAAATTTTCTGCACGATCAGCATCATATTTACGTAATTCAAGGAATTTTGAACGGCTCGGTTTTATGTTTGCTTTCTGACAAATTTCTAAACGTAATCATCAAATATGATTGAAGATAAAACGAAAAAATTCAAATAAGACCGAAGATAAAATGAAAAAGTTATATATGATCGATGATAAAAAGAAAAAGTCAAATATGATGGATTATAAAATGAAAAAGTAAAATATGACTGAAGATAAAACGAAAAAAGTCAAATAAGACCGAAGATAAAATGAAAAAGTTATATATGATCGAAGATAAAAAGAAAAAGTCAAATATGATGGAAGATAGAATGAAAAAATGAAAAAAGTCGAATAAGATCGAAGATAAAAAGAAAAAGTCAAAAATGATGGATTATAAAATGAAAAAGTAAAATATGACTGAAGATAAAATGAAAAAGTCAAATATGATCGAAAATGAAATAATAAAGTTAACAATGATCGAAGATAAAATGAAAAAGTAGAAAATGATTGAAGAAAAAATGAAAAGGTCAAATATGATTGAAGATAAAATGAAATGAAAAAGTTAAATATGATCGAATATATAATGAATTGCTTGAAATATAACCGCTCATGCAGTGAAATGCTACAAATCCGTTGTCAGCAATTCAGATATAAACCATTCTTTATATATGGCTCAAATATTTTATCTTATGAATAAAATGATGCACTATAATGTATGGCAAATTAACATGCAATGTACGAGTACGAGTCAAATTTATGAGTCTGTCAGTTAGAGCAGATTATCAAGAATTTAAATTCACTTGAAAACTCGGGACTTTATAGGGACGCTTCAGCATGAAACAGAATTCCCTTGCTGAATTTTCCTGAATTCTGAATATGCCCGAAGACTTTATAATATGATTGATGTTTATATGCGATTGTATACATAAACCGATCTAATGAACAACTACATCAATAATATATCGTTATCCTTCTGTGTTTGCGGAAGATACAATATATTTCAATCAAATATCATAAAGTAATCTTTTACCAGACGTTTTCTGCACACAATCACTTGCAAATTATACGCCTATCATTCAATTAAAACAGTTTTTCTTTACAGAAATTTATCTTACTTGAGGCTAAGTTTTTGTGAAATTAAAAAGAATTATTTACTATTATTACTTTATAACTAATAAATAACGGCTACCGATCACCTTTTTAGAATTGTCAATGGTCAGAACATGAATGTACATTATAACACAAGGTTGCAAATGTCCAAGTTGGCGTTCAAAAATAATTAGGCAGAGATCAAAATTTGTAACTTGAATAATTCATTGTGTTTGTTTGAATTCTGTCATACCACTGATAAAAATTAAATGTAGGATTGATATTGAGAGTTTTAATGTGCCTATAAATAAACACGTCATTTGCGTGGCATGCGAACTTGTGATATTTCATTATTCTGCTCCTGACAATATTTCTACAATTTAAGTTTTCGCCGTGCAGCATAAAAGTTCAAAATTGAAGCTTAAAATAGTAGATTTCATGAATGCATTACATTTTTGAACAACAAAAAGTCTGTTTAACAAATTTCAAAAACATTTGCTCAAAAAATTCCTCATTTAAGTTTAATTTTTTTTGCTCATGAAAATTTCGGATCTGAAAAAGATTTACAAAATTTCAAGAACATTTGATAAAAAGTTCCTCATATAAGTTGAATTTTTTTTTTGCTCATGAAAGTTTCGGATTTGTAAAAGAGCAATAATTTCAAAATTTGATAGAAAATCTTCATTTATAGTGCATTGATTATGAAGGCATATTAGTCACATAAAAGCTAACCAAAATTAGTGGAAAGAGCCGTCATTATTTTTCTTGACTGTACTGTGCACATTATTTTGTGTAAACTTTCATTAT